TGCATCGGTACATTGATGTAGTGGGAGGATTATCATCCAATTCGACAGAATCATGTTTTTAGGTGAGACCATTATGGACATCCCTGTTAAACATGAGTTGGACCCAGTAAGCTACACGGAAGCGTGAACCGATGTGGATACAGATCGTTTTGGTGAGTTACTATGAAATCAGAGTTGGAATCTATGTATTCTAATAAATTCTGGGATCTTGTAGAACTTTCTAGTAGGGTGATTCCTATGGAAGGCAAGTTAATCTACAAAAAGATACCAGAAGATTTCTTAGTGAATAAATCATGAGTGTACAAGGGAATGTCATTATTTTTCTTAATTCTATATATTGATGACATCCTACTCATTTATAATGACGTGGAAGTTTTGTCATCAATTAAAAGGTAGTTGTTCAATTACTTTTAAATGAAGGATTTTCAAGATGTAAGCTATATTCCTAGGATCAAGCTTTTGCAAGATCAGGTTAAAAGGAAAATAGGCTTATCTTAATAATCCTACATTGATAAAGTTTTGACCAGGTTTGGTATGCATAACTCAAAGAATGAGTTCTTGCTTTATTGATATGGATGGCTCTCTCTAATAAGTAGTTTTTCAAGACTATCAAAGGAGATTGAGCAAATGGGACTGGAACAATATGTTTCGGCATATGAGAGTCTCATATATGCCATGGTCTATACCAAACAGGACATCCGCTACATAGTAGGGATAGTCAGTAGAGATCAGTCCAATACTGGACTTGACAACTGGTCTATTGTGAAAAAATATCATTAAGTACCTAAGGAGAACCAATGATATCATATTCATTTATGGATGTGATGATATGGTCCTAGTCAGGTATGCTAGTTCTGATTTTCAATCAGAAGTAGATACTATGAGGTTCATGACTCAGTGTAAGTTCACTTAATGGAAGGGAGATCAGTTGGTAGATTGTTAAGCAGATTTCAACTGCTGACTCAAACCTGTAGGTGGAATATATTGCAGCCTTAAAGGCGGCAAAGGAAGCCTATTAGTTTGATCTCACTGATTTAGAGGTTGTGGAGTATACTAGCCTGCCTATTGAGCTATGTTGTGACAATAGTGCAGAAGTAGTCCAAACCAATGACCCAAGGTTCCATAGAGGAACAAGATACACTGAGAGGAAGTATCATGTTCTACATGATATTGTCCGGCAAGAAAATGCACTTGTAGTTAAAACATTGCATTGGAACACAACTTTGTTGATCCATTATCAAAGGTGTCATTGATCAATAATTTTGATCATCATCTGGATAACATTGGAGTTAGGTGCAATTTGAATTGGCTATGAGGGCAAGTGGGAGCTGTTGGGATTTATATGCCCTGGCATAGCAAATTCCTATCTGGATTGTATTGACATATGTTCCTGACATATCTGAAATATTTATGATTTATATAATTGGTGAATTCAATGTATTATGTTTCGATTCACTATGAAATTGATAGTGTCCAGTTAATTGCAAGAAATATTTATATATATGTATGTGATGACAATCAATGCATGATATATAAATAGTAATTATAAATTGTTCATAGTCGGTAATTATGGATGGACTCATAATTAATTAAGACTTGAACTGGATCCGCGTTAGGTTGAGATATATTGCGAGAGCCGTCATATGCAATTACTCCCTATCACCGTCATGGCATTTGACTCTTAAGCATGAGAAAAGTATAGACTCTTTTATTAATTAATAATTACTTTGATTTGTTCGGCGGATTCTTCGGGATCCTTAGACCGACACTTTGGGTAGTTATATAATTAATAGTTAGAGGGTTATATTTTCAATATTTGCATCATTGCTACTTGTATTTATTTTGTATTGATTATGGTTGATCACAAAGTAAATTCGAAGGCCTTCGTGTGTTTTTAGACAAAATGATTTATTATATATTTATTTATTTAAATTATTATTTTTGTCAAACAAATGTTTTATTGTGATCGAGCCAGAAATAATCAAAGGTACCAAAATAAATATATTAATTAAGTAGTCGGATTGATGGCTATATTTATCCGATAACTAATTATGCATAGAGGGGTCAAAGTGCAATATTGACTTAGAGATTATTTATTATTTAATTGGAGTTCAATTAATTTCTTTTAGTGGAGTAGAAATTAATTTATGAATTAATTGAATTGGGTCCATGGACCGGGCCAATTATTAATTCATTGTAGCCAATAAAATAATAGGCCCAATGGATTCTCACTCATAGCCCAACTTGATATTGGAATCATATTAGATTTGAGACATATGAATTAGAGATGGAGAAGGATTTGTTGTTTCCTTTTCTTTATTTTTATGTTGCCTATAAATATACATGGTCTATGTATATTTTAGGGTGTGATTTTTATGAGAAGGAAAAAGGAATAAATTTTCTCTCTCTAGAAAATTAGGGTTTATGTTCTCATCTAATGGAGGCTCCCACAAGCCTAGTTTTCCAAGGTCATTCATGGAGGCTTATGAGTGATTCCTAAAGGCAAGACCATTACCAAGAAGATGGAGATCCATGGAAAAGATGTCTAGCAAAAGGGATCTACAATAAGTGAGAACATTCACTTTAGAGGAGAGATCTGAGGTTTACTCAAACCTTGATGTAAGTATTCAATCTTTTAGTTGAATAATACATCATATTTTATTTTTTTTTGCATAAAACTTGTCTCTATGTGATGAATCAAGATCTATGAATTTAAATCCCTCGAAAAGTTTTTAAAACTAGCACGTTTCCCAACATTTGGGACCTACATGTATGTGAGGGGAGGCATTTTTTTGGATGGGACCCTAAATGGGCTTCACCCATACATGTCCAAAACCTTTCCGCATTTAGATTCAATATAAGTCTTTTCTAAATGTTTTCTTTTGTTCCACAACACTACAGTGGGACTCCCAAATACAAGGGCAAGCAACCTAATCATTGTGCTATGAAGGGGTTTGCAAAAAAAATTATGCTTAGAATATCTCCAATTATTGTCTATATTTTTTTGTGTTGGACTAATTATTTTTAACTCCAATCGTTGTTTTATACCTTTTTGTGTATATCTGCAAATAACAACTAATCATGTATCATGTCCAATATCCCATATAACTTTTACAAACTTAACTAATATATGGTTGATTCTTTAATGAAATGAGAAATAAGGAGGAGAGGAAAAATATGTTGATGTGTATAAAAGTTCTGTGCAAAATACACAATAATTTTACACATTAGTGAGGTGGCGATGCATCTTAACATATTATTGGTGATTAAAAAAAAAAAAAAATTACAAAAAGTTTTTTACACATTATGTATATTTTATATATATATATATATATATATATATATATTGTAACACAATATTGGTGATGCTCATATTAATTTACACAAATTGCTTGACTTTTAGGAGGGGGAAAAAAAAACCAGAAGGGGGAAAGACATACATACACATCTTAAATGGTCAAGTTGTAAGCAAAAAAAAACAAATTAAACTTCTTGCTGGTAATGATCACGGCAACGCCTAACTTTTTCAATCACCTAATAGCTTTCTATTTAGAGAACCAAACTCTTCATTCCTTAATTACAAAACACTTTGGAGTTGCCGACTATCCATCCCATTCACTGTTAGGTAATCGACTTATTCTCCATCAATGGAGCCAGAATTAATTGAGCATGTGATTCTAATATATACTGTATCTTTCACACAACACTTTTTGTGTAAATATAGCCAAAACCAGGTCTCTACTCAATCTACATCTCCCAAGATATGTTAGATATATGACTTTTAAGTGTGCAATTTACAAGCACACATATTACGATGTGATTTGTGAACAATGTGGTCAACTCCTTATAATCAGTAATTCCAACAGTACGAGTTAGCTTCATGATTTTTAATATATGCTTTCATTTTTTCCATTCATCATCATATATTATTATTATTATTATTTATTATTATTATTATTTTTTAACAAGACAAGAAGTATTAGAAGTTAGATAAATAGATGTAGAGAGTCGAAATCTAACACTTCAAAATCCACCAAATGCACTAACTCACGGTACTATCAAGGCATCTCTCCATTCTCCGTCTTCTTCTTCTTCTTATTCTTCATCATCTATATATATAACAAATACTTTGAGCCAATTCAAGGACCCAAAAATATATATTCTTTGATGTGTATGGGGTAGGTGGCTTTCTCTAAATGTCCAGAGTTGTCATGACAAGATTTTGGGTCCATGAATTGGCTCAAAGTATTTGTTGTTAAACGTTGATGTAGTTGCTTTGAAATTAAGAAAAGAAAAACTGAAGTTTAGAACCCCACGTCTCTCTCTTTCTCGCTAGTTGACCACCTAGTATCAACTTAGTTGGGTGAGACTTGATTGAGAGCAATGTTCAATGAGCAAATGATTCAATTCTTGAAACTTTTGAAGGAGGGAAAAAAAAAAAAAAAAAATTGTAAAAATTATGATCTTAATGACACTAAAGAAACGGAACATTTACCGAAGAAGATCTATTTCAACTATCGAAACTCTAGAATTCACTGGGTTTGATGGAAAAGAGAAAATTCAAATTTTTATTTATGAAAATACTCTCCAATTAGGCTGAGCATTATAGTTATAAAGTATTTATAATGACCAACCCAAAAAAAAAAAAAAAAAAAAAAAAAGCCACTAGCAGATTTAGCTAGCAGCAAATTACCTCTAAAAGTCACGAAAATTAACAAATGAGGTAAAATCACAAAATTAAACTGACTGACAAAAATTCAAAACAAACTGACTTCAAATTTCGAACCTAAACAATAATAATGAGTAATTAAAAAAGAAATTCGATAAGAATGGTCGAATTTCGAGTTTAAATGAGACCCATTCTCCTGGATTATAAATTATGGCCTTTCTAAGTTTGGTCTACATTCCTACTAGTTTCAACTGGACTTTTAATGGTATCACATTCCAGAAAATCCAATGTCATAAAGGCATACCAAATTGAAACAGAACATTTTTTATTTAAATGTTAAAAACACTACTGTTTATGCTTTTTAATAAATAAAAAAAAATAGGTTTAGAACTTCTTATAAGTTGTTCTAATCCTAATAAAAACACTGGAGATCAATACTAATTATAGAATTGAACTACATTCCCAAATAAGAAAAGATTCACGACACAAACTCTTTGTATGTCGAAGACTTTAATCCACAATTGCTGGTAATAACAAAGCCTTGAAAAAAACCAACCTATGTCACACACTTGATTTACTGTTTATAGTATTCATGATCAAACCTAGCTACCATGGGTGCCTAATGTCAGGGCCCTGGAGTTTCACCTCATGACTTGTGTAGGGCGTGATACCGAACTGCCATAATTCCTCCATGTCCCATGGATTCTCTGTAAAAGCACCGTCAATCAAATTGCCTCCGCCAATCGGAATTTCAGAGTCCCCTGGTGTTGATATAGGTTCTAGGCTGAAGGTCTCCATGGCATAGCCAATGTCGTTCAAATTACCACCACCCTTTGAAAATGTATAGTAGTAGTCATTGTTAGCCGTTGCGTGAAATGAACTTGTTGGCGGGTATTCTGAAATTTGAGGAATCCCTGAGATATTCAATGATTCTGTAGGAAAAACACTTGGTCTGGTGCAGTTTTCTGAGCTCGAGTTCTTTGCACGATGAACTAAACTTTGTGTTGCTTCGGTGCTTATGTTGAGTGAACTTTGTGCAGGACCTTGTGGTGATACTAGTGAATGTTCATTGGCATGATTGAGAGACTGATCAGTATCGATATCTGAATTTGGAGACGATGATCGTTGTATCTTTTGAAGCAATCTTGGGATCCAAAAGCGTCGAATGACTTCTTGAAATGCTGTGCTGTTGGTATCAATCTTTAGATGCTGAGCTTGTTTCAGCACCCGGGTTCTCCAATAGTTCTTGATCTCATTGTCTGTCCTGCCTGGTAAATGCTTCGCAATCTTCGACCACCTAGAAATCATGAAAACAAAGAATAAGGTTACAAATACAATGATTAGAGAAGCACGTACAAAGATTAAAAAAAAAACTGTAATCAAGAACTGAAACATGTCGCTATATATAGATAAATCAAATCAAAGCAATAGGAATTGGACATATCAAGAATGAATGTGAATTAGGCAAAAACTCGTGTCACCTGTTGCCCCACTTGGAATGGAGCTCAAGAATCAAGAGCTGTTCTTGTGGCGTAAGGTTTCCATGCTTAACATCTGGTTTCAGATAATTCAGCCATCTCAATCTACAACTCTTCCCAGTTCTCCTCAATCCTAACCAAGAAATCAAATACCCGAATAAGTATTATAAAGATTGGATGATATGTATAATTATAGTTTCATATAATCACACTAGCTTAATTGGTAATGGTGGTTAAGATGGATTACCTGAAAACTTTGCTAGCAGATTCCAACGGCCTTCGCCGTGACGAGCAATGTAGTGAATGAGAATAGTGTCTTCTTCCAAAGTCCATGGTCCTCTTCTAAGTTGCAAAGCTTCATCGCTAGAACTACTGCTTGCACTCTTACTTAAAGTAGACATGGCTAGCAAATACTAACATTAAAGAAGGCCTAATTGGTGGGTTTTGGAGTTTCCAAGCCAAAGCAGTTGAGCAGAGCAGAGCAGCCAGGCTAAGATTCATAGACTAAATGCTGAAAAAAAAGTCCAAATATACTGTATATTTGGTACTATTTTCATAACTTAAATCATATAAAATAAAATAAAATAAAGAAAAATTTACAGTTTTTATAGAATTAATTTCCTTTCACCTTCCATCTCGACTCTTAAAAAGGAGCACCGCCACATTATTTGTGTTGTACTATATTTGAAAGTTCACAATTTACAATTTACAATTTACAATTTACGTAAGTCTGAAGTTTCACATGTGTGATCTATTTTTAGAGAAAATCCACACACCATGAAAAATATGATAAATAATTGTTAATCATTCCCCTTCTATACCAAACATTTCTCCTTTTAAATTTTTTGTTGTCTCAAAATTTATTTTTCATTTAAAAGTTGAAGTAAATTAATGGGGCGCTCTTTCCAAACTATCCTAAGTTTTGAAATTTTTTCTAAAATAGAAAAATTAAAAATTTTGAACTTTTAAGCATAGTTTAGAAATTTCAAAAGAGACGAATGCATTAAATACATATTTCTAAAATGTTATAATATGAAAAAGGAAGAACTAAACTCATTTTAAGTTGATGACTTGGTCAGCTAAAGAATTTAGCTCTAGTAATTAAGGAATTGAAATATGAATCCCGGTGACTAAGTTTATCATATAAGTCAGATTCAGGTGAGACTAATCCTTTCACATATTACTGTGGTTGAAATTAAACTTGAAATTTTTGAATAATTAATTAGTCTTATACGGTCATACCAACTTAAGTTACACAATTCTTCTTACCAGGTGTCGCTCTCACGCTTCGAACGCATTCTCACTCTCGCGCTCCCGCTCTCACGCTCCGCATGTGCTCTCGCTCAAATTCTCCCTGTTTATGACTTAATAATAAAGAAAACACGTTCTCGCCCTCAAATTTACTTTCGCTTTCGCCCCCACTTTATGTGACTTAGATACCAACTTAATTAATTTATTACGTCATATTCCCATGTCCTTTATAGATGAGACTAATCCTTTCATATATTATGATGGTTAAAATTAAATTTGAAATTATTGAATAATTAATTAGTCTTATGCTGTCATACCAACTCAACTAATCTATTCCACCAAATAAGATTGTTTCTACACGAAAGATTAACAAAAATCGTTTTAATCTTAAATCTTACCATTGACCTTTTTTGTTCCTTCTTTTAATTTTTTTTTTTCTTCTTTTTCACATAGAGTGATCCTAAACATATCAAATGACTTGGCATAACTTATTTTAATAGGTCAATATAAAATAACTTATTTTATAAGGCAATATAAAATATGATTTAAGTGCATAGAAGCCCACACAAAAGATAATCTCTTTAGACTAATAGATCCTAGAAAGTCCAAAACAAGCAAAAGATAGAAAAATTGTTAAACTCTAGAATATGGAATTTTGTGTGTTTTATTTATAGGAAATGGGTACTCCGTTTTCCACACGGTTCTCTCTTTCAAAATTCTTTATATTTATAAATATTAGACGTGCTTGACTGAACAAAATACTTTATGTCTACGTCTATATTGAATACAGTTATATGTATCTATCTCTCTACCTATATATATATATATATAAAACGTGGGTTTATTGGTGTTTGCTTGAGAAGGCGGCATTTGAGCTTTTGCTTGGAACCTCAAAACAAGACTAGTACTCATTTAATTTTGCTTGGTTGTGGTCTTATGATGCCGACATTGCACAACAAAAATGGTTTTCCTATGGTTCTTGTTTCTTCAAACCCTATCAGTTTTGAGACCAGGAAACACAAACAAACACAAAGAAGTTTATGTAAAAGTCTGCAAATTGCAGCCAAATTTGACTTCTCTAACTATATTGTTCCTTCCAATTGTATATGTCAATTTTGGTTTTATGAAAATGAAAAGAAACTTGGCAATGAAGTGGGGTTGGAACTAAAAGATCAAAGCTAGCTAGCTTAAGCTTCACAATGCCATCATTAATTACATTGTGTCCAAGGTGGTGTTTGGGACAATTTCACTTACTTCAAACCCTGTGTTTCTCCCATTCTAGAAAGGATGCATTTTACGCACAAAGTATCTCGTGTCTTCAACTGTTGAATTGAGAGAGGTTTTAACAGTGATCTCTCAGTCTTATTGATGAAGGCACGAGCTCACAACAGTGTATATATATTAGAAGTGTGATATTATTAAAGAAGAAGGTACTTAAAAGAGTTTCATAATATCACACCAAACACATCTTTAACCTTAGTATGACTGGTCCAAATGGGGAAATTTAAAATAGAGACGGATATTAAGTATGTTTATGTTACACAGCAGCAAAGAACTAGTTCAAACCTTTATGGAAAATGACAGAACTTTGGTCAAGATGAGCACAAAGTTTATAAAATTTAGTTTCCTCTGCTGTGTCCCCTACACATTTCAATCTAAACATGATAGATAAGATGGTGATGATGATATGAGGACGGTGGTGATTAAGATGGTGATGACATGAGTTCCCACTCAAAATTTCAAGACAGCTATGATTATGACAATAGTGATAACAACAACAACAGAGGAATATGGTGACAAAAATGACAAGGCATACGAGATCAAATGAAGCCAATGAAGCGTAATTAGCGGACAGATTAGTGACTGCAACTTCTCTGTTGTATGATGTGGATCATAGTTGTTTATATGAGCAATAAATAAAATTTTCATCTTACAAACATGTTGATAGATATCTCAGTTGACACATTTACCCAGATTTAAGTACTGTTATATTATTCTGTGCTCTTTATATTTAGTGATACAATTCAAACCCAATTGAGTTACTGAATCTTGACAGAAATAAAACAAACATTTTTAGTGATAGACCTTATAAATGCACCATTCTGCAGTGAAACAATCCTATACAAGCAATAATTTCGCCAGATCTCTGTTTAGGTTTCTTGTTTAATTATAAATCCAATTTCATGTGACACCTTTGACATGTATTTTTTATTTTTCGTGTATCTCATTCCTATTATCAGGCCCCAAAATCAATACCAAAATGCAGTGCCTTGAACAAATTTCATGCATTGAGATGAAGGGAAGCCAAGTGCATCTAAAGCTTTTTAGAAAACCCAATCACCTGTAACATTTTTTTTTTTTTTCCATAAATTCAAGCAATTTGTATGTGGATAAAGAGAATTTACAAGTATAAGAGTTATGGGCTACTTTCAAACACAAGCGGAAATGCAAGCCCAATAGATTGAAACTGAAATCAAGGGAAAGAAACGCAAGACAAAACAGAGGCCCAAACCTACCATAATTGGGTGCAACTTGAACAGCCCAATGAAACTTTCAAATAGCCGTTGGTTAACGGCGAGCAAATCCGGTTCTCCAATGCCGTTGACCTCAATTCCTGCCGTCCGGTGGTCGTGGGGGAGGTCGAAGGCATGAGGGCTGGAAGCTTTCACTCTTGAAGTAAGGCTCTGTCACTCTGTTAGTCGTAGTATCATTCAGTTGCAGTGTGAGAGATTTGCCCTTAAACATCACTTAAGATTTGGTGAAGCGCCTAAGATTGCGTGGAGATCTTATGTGATAAACGGATGCAAGGAAAGCAAGCTTGGTGATGAAGTGATTGGCCTTCGATTTCCAGTGGAAGGAGGTCCAGTTCACAAGGGAATTCCAATTCATTGGATGTCAATATGACCCACAACGTGTAATGACCATATGGGTTGTGAGAATTCACAGTAGAAGAGCAGGTGATTGTGATCCTCAGGGGCTGATTTGCATAGAGGAAACTTCTTGCCCCGTAGCAAATTTGGATTAAAGATACCTATGTTTCTGACGTTTATGATATTTATGTTTTATACAATTGATGAATTTAATGTATTATATTTCGATTTATTATAGAATTGATAGTGTCCATTTGATTACAAGAAATATTTATATATATATATATGTGATGGTAATCAATGCATGATATATAAATAATAATCATAAATGGTTCATAGTCGATAATTATGGATGGACTCATAATTAATTAAGATTTGAACTGGATTCGCGTTAGGTTGAGATATATTGCAAGAGCCGTCGTATGCAATTGCTCCCTATCATCGTCATGGCATTTGACTCTTAAACATGAGAAAATTATAGACTCTTTTATTAATTAATAATTACTTTGATTGTTCGGCGGATTTTTCGGGATCCTTAGACCGACACTTTGGGTAGTTATGTAATTAATAGTTAGAAGGTTATATTTTCAATATTTGCATCATTGTTACTTGTATTTATTTTGTATTGATTATGGTTGATCACAAAGTAAATTCGAAGGCCTTTGTGTGTTTTTAGACAAAATGATTTATTATATATTTATTTATTTAAATTATTATTTTTGTCAAACAAATGTTTTATTGTGATCGAGCCAGAAATAATCAATGGTACCAAAATAAATATATTAATTAAGTAGTCGGATTGATGGCTTTATTTATCCGATAACTAATTAAGAATAGAGGGGTCAAAGTGCAATATTGACTTAGAGGTTATTTATTATTTAATTGGAGTTCAATTAATTTCTTTTAATGGAGTAGAAATTAATTTATGAATTAATTGAATTGGGTCCATGGACCGGGCCAATTATTAATTCATTGTAGCCAATAAAATAATAGGCCCAATGGATCCTCACTCATAGCCCAACTTGATATTGGAATCATATTAGATTTGAGACATATAAATTAGAGATTGAGAAGGATTTGTGGTTTCCTTTTCTTTATTTTTATGTTGCTTATAAATATACATGGTCTATGTATATTTTGGGGGTGATTTTTGGGAAAGAAGGAAAAAGGAATAAATTTTCTCTCTCTAGAAAATTAGGGTTTATGTTCTCATCTAATGGAGGCTCCCACAAGCCTAATTTTCCAAGGTCATTCATGGAGGCATATAAGTGATTCCTAAAGGCAAAACAATTACCAAGAAAATGGAGATCCAAGGAGAATGCATCTTCCTAAGGGATCTACAATAAGTGAGAACATTCACTTTAGAGGAGAGATCTAAGGTTTACTCAAACCTTGATGTAAGTATTCAATCTTTTAATTGAATGATACATCATGTTTTATTTTTGCATAAAACTTGTCTCTATGTAATGAATCAAGATCTATGAATTTAAATCCCTCGAAAAGTTTTTAAAACTAGCACGTTTCCCAACAGTCTGATCCTAGAAAAGCCATTGACAGATGATCCCATGAGACTGGTGGTGTAGGTGCTAGGAAATATGGTATGGTATGTTTTAGTGAGAAGAGACCTGCTGGTGATGGGTCCCAAATAATGGTGTCATCAACTAAGGCATTTGGTGGTGGAGTAGCTGGTAATGAAGGGATGGGGGCAAGGATAGGTGGCGGAAAGGTCCAGGATTCTTCATTGATGTAGTTCTCAAGCTTTGCAAATCTGTCATTTGGTGAGGCATCAATGGCAGTGGAGGTGAAGCTGCAGTGCAGGGGACCAAATTGGCTCCAGTTATCAAACCAAAAGTGAGTATTCTTCCCACTCCCCATCTTGTGTTTGATCAATTTTGCAGTGATATGTCTCGGCTGCATTAGTTTACTCCATGTTCGTGAGCACCTTTGAGGAATTTTCAAATGTAGGATGCCATTTTCATGAACAACATTTTTTTTTCAACAACCAAACAGACAAACAATGCTTGATGTACAAGCTCCAATCTTTGCATTGTTGCATTGAGAATCAAAGTGAAACAAAGAAAGAAGCAAAAGTCTTTGCTCGCAATCAAATCAATTTATATTAAAAACTATGCCTTTTAGGGTAGAATAATTACCTTGTGATTGCTCATTAGGAAAATAGCTTCAATCTGTTGAAGTTTTTTTTCCCCCTCCTCCTGGATTTTTTTATTTGTATGTGTCATGGGAGATTCAGCCTGTTGGGTTTTACTGGACTAATGTTATGTATGGAGACACTTGGATCACAACGGTCAGGTCAAAATGCATGATTGGTCATTTGATCCTAATTCTAAAAGCTTCCGTGGCAAAGAATTCAAGTGACTAAGCAATCCACTAGTTTCAAATAACTATGGAAGGGACAAACTAAGCTTAAATTTTAAAAACGGCAGGATTTTGTATGAAAACTTAAATGATTCTTGCTGTAGAATGAATACACCACCAAACCATTAACCATTTCGAATTAATTATCTATAACCATTTTGGGTGGGCCTTACACTTGTTCAAGTGGTCGCTATCCTCCTACTCTGTCTTGACTTGACAGATTCCTTTTGTCGAATGATTAGGAGGAGAAGTTTTCTGATGTTGTCTAGTCCACCTTGGCTCGTCCTTTGTCTGATCATGTTCCGTTGATGCTAGATTGTGGTGGGTTGCGTAGCAGAAAGTCCCCCTTCAAATTTGAAAAATATGTGGCTTCGGGCTGAAGGTTTTTTGGAGCAAGTCTGATCCTGGTGGATGGGTTATGGTTTGAGTAGCTCCCCTAGTCATTCTCTGGCGGGCAAGTTGCGTCTTTTGAAGAATGATCTCAAAGTTTGGAACAAAGAAGTTTTCGGGAATTTGGCTTGGCGGAAGAATCGTATTCTTTCTGAGATCGCTGATATTGATAGGATGGAGGGTCAAGGTCTTTTGCCAGTTCCCTTGAGGCTTAGGAGGGTGGAATGTCAGGCAGAGTTTGCTGAGATCGCCGCTATGGAAGAGATTTCGTGGAAACAGAAGTCTAGAGCTTTGTGGCTCAAGGAAGGTGACAATAATACTAAATTTTTCCATCGTCTTGCCAATGCTCACAGAAGGGGCAATCACATTGGGAGGATTCGAATAGATGGGGAGATGTTTAGTAAGGAGGAGGAGATTTGTAAGGGTTTTACTGATTACTTCTCAGAATTGTTCACTGAACTAGCTGGTTGGCGTCTTCTGCTTGCTGGGCTACACTTTGACTCTATTTCTAGTGAGGAGTCTTTTGCTTTGGAAGAGCCTTTTACGGAAGAGGAAGTTTTGTCTGCTTTGAAGAGCTGTAATGGGGATAAAGCTCCTGGTCTAGATGAGTTTTCTATGAGATTCCTTTTGGAGTGCTGGGAAGTGGTCCGTGAGGAGGTGATGAGCTCTTTTCACGCCTTCCATGTTCAGGGTTCTTTTGAAAAGAGTTTGAATGCCACCTTTCTTGCTCTTATTCCGAAGAAGGGAGAAGCGATGGATGTTAAGGATTTTCGTCCTATCAGTTTGGTAGGATGTTTTTACAAATTGATTGCGAAAGTTTTGGCTTCCAGGTTGAGGAAAGTTATGAATGGCGTCAGTTTTGATTCTCATAATGCTTTTGTGGGAGGTCGCCAAATTCTGGATTCAGTTCTTATTGCCAGTGAATGTGTGGATTCCCGGTTGAGTAGTGGGATTCCGGGTGTTTTATGTAAGATGAATATTGAGAAGGCGTATGATCATGTTAGTTGGAGTTTCCTTCTCTACTTATTGGAGAGGATGGACTTCGGTGAGCATTGGAGGAGGTGAATTCTTTTCTGTATTTCCAGTGTTCGATTCTCTGTCATTGTGAATGGAGCTCCGACGGGTTTTTTCTCTTCTTCGAGAGGGTTGAGACAAGGGGATCTGCTTTCTTCATTCCTATTCCTTTTTATGATGGAAGCTCTTAGCAGATTACTAAAGAAGGCAGTGGAGTTAGATTTTTTGAGAGGCTTTCGGGTGGGCAGAGATGTTGCTAACCAACTAGAGATCTCCCACTTGATGTTCGCGAACGATACTTTAGTGCTTTGTAATACTGATGAGTCTCAATTAAGATATTTGAAATGCGTTTTGATTTGGTTCCAAGTTGTCTCTGGCCTTAAGGTGAATGTTGGTAAGAGTATCCTGGTACCTGTTGGAGATGTCCCTGAGATCGAGAGGTTTGCTTAGATTCTTGGATGTTGCACTGGATCCTTTCCCATTTCTTATTTAGGGTTGCCTTTGGGAACTCTTTCGAGATGCGTAGGGAGTTGGGATCCAGTTGTGGATAGATTTAAGAAGAGGTTGGCGGGTTGGAAAAAGCAGTATCTCTCAAAGGGGGGTCGGGTTATTCTGATTAAGAGCACCCTTTCTAGCCTCCCCACTTATTTCTTCTCGCTCTTTTAGATCCCTTCTTCTGCAGCTGAGAGAATAGAGAGATTGCAGCGCAACTTTCTTTTGGGGGGGGGGGGGGGGGGAGAGGAAAGGAGTTCAAATTTCATTTGGTTCAATGGGAGCAGGTGTGCCGTCCGATTCGGTGTGGAGGTTTAGGATTAAGGAGATTGGTGCCTTTCAATAAGGCTTTCCTTAGGAAATGGTTATGGAGGTTTAGGATTGAGAGGCATTGGCTTTGGAGGAGAGTTATCGTAAGCAAGTTTGGGGAGTTTAGTGGTGGGTGGTGTTCTGCTGAGATTCGCTGTACTAGAGGGGTGGGGGTCTGGACTATTATTCGGAAAGGGTGGGATAATTTTTGCAAGCATGTTCGCTTTCGGATTAAAGATGGCAGAAGGATCAGATTTTGGGAGGATCTTTGGTGTGGGGAACTTCCTCTTGCTCTTGCTTTTTCGCGGCTCTATAGGATTGCTTCTCATAGACAGACTATGGTGGTTAACTGTTATCACCTTGATAATGGGAGACTGACTTGGGATGTCCAGTTTAGGAGGCACTTTCAGGACTGGGAGATTGAGGATGTTACTCGTCTTTTGGAAGTTTTGTACCGTCAAGCGATCATTGTTGGGGATTCGGATTGCTGGTTTTGGGTTCCTAACTCTCACGGTCGATTCGAGGTTAGGTCCTTCTTTAAGTGCCTTTCGGTTGATTATGGAGGCTCTTTCCCTTGGAAGTCTATTTGGCGGTCTAAAGCCCCCCTTAAGGTCGCCTTTTTTGCATGGACTTCCGTCCTAGGCAAGATTTTAACCCAGGATAATTTGAGGAGGAGGAATCAAGTGGTGGTCAATCATTGTTATATGTGCTTGTGTGATGAGGAGACCGTTGACCACCTTCTTTTGCACTGCAGTATGGCCAGAGATTGTTGGGATTTGATGCTTGGATTATTTGGAATCCATTGGGTTATGCCTAGGTCTTCTAGAGGGTTGAATGAGGCTTGGAGAGGTGTCTCTGTTGGGGCTCTTATTCGGGAGGCTTGGAGGGCTACGCCTCTTTGTATTTGGTAGTGCATTTGGCTCGAGCGAAATAGGAGATATTTTGATGGAAAGAAGAAATCTATTTCTACGCTTAAGTTCTCTATTATTTCCACTCTTTTTGGTTGGGTGTCAGGGAGAGATTATAAATCTATTGAGGAGATTATTGTATTTTTGGCCTCGTTGAAGTTTTAAGGCGCTTTGTGGCCTTTTTGTTTTCTTGGGTTCCGCTCCCCTTTTTTGAGCGTTTTCAATAAATTTTACTTATCAAAAAAAAAAAAAAAAAAATCTATAACCAGATGAACTGCACAGTAATTATATTCATACATAAACTATATATTACTTGTATCTGCTGGTACACAATATTAGAAGACAGACCACCAACTAGTGCTTACTCACAAAGGCAGTGTCATTCTCATTTTCCTACTTTGGGTCATAACTCATGGTGAGATCCAAAGAGAAGGTCCTAAAATATCCACCTTAACTAACTTTTTTAGCATACTTTTTACTGAAAGTGAAAGCCAATGACTTATGATGGACCCGGATCATTGGATATATCTCCTGAATGAGGGTCCTAGTTAGGGAACATAAACACACAAGCTGGAATTGCAACATGGCCCCCTCAGAATGGTAGTTCACATTTTCATTATTTAATGGAAGATAGTAAAATAGAATATAGACATAACATTCTAATCCTAGTCTATAAATAATACTCATATATGTATGCAGTTCACCATATTGATTATAGGCATTAGGCACACACCTCCTATTTTCCAAATTAGCCATTGGTCACTTAGAAGCTGTGTTATACAGATATGCAGAGCACTAAACCTTCATTCCCCTACTTCAGTATTGATACAAACATGGAACTTCTGAACCAGTTTCCAGAGCTTAACCCAATTGCTGTAGAGAATTCAAACTTGAATTTCCTGAGCTTCATGGGTTTTCCCAATGAAAATTTTCTCATCAAACAAGCACCAGAAAACCGGGAAAACTTGGACGAGAAACTTCCGGGCATTTTCTATCCTCATGACAAGAATGCCATGGCAGTTTTGGAGCCCATAGTCTCTGCTCGAATCAATTTCCACGAAAGTAAGAAGAGGAAAGCAATGGATGCATCAGAAAGCAGTACTTCTGGAATTTCAACTCCAGCAGTTTCTGAAGATGGTACTAAGAGAAAAAATGTAGGCAATTGCTCTCCTCTTTGATTTTATTTATTTATTTATTTTTATTTTTTATTATGTATTTTGGCTTTTATCTTCCTGTTTACAGATAATATTGCTTTATAATGTTTGCTATCATTTTCAATCTTAACAGAGTTCAGGACGAGGAAAGAGAGTGAAGTGCAATGAGAAGGAAGATGAGAAACAAAAGGAAGTGGTACATGTTAGAGCTAAAAGAGGACAAGCTACTAAT